CTGCTGTTGCCTCCCTGTTCTCGCTCTCTGCTGGGGCCGGCTTTGCGTGGCTGCGGCGTTAAGTAGGTCGGGGAACTGAACCAGAAGGAAAAGAGCCAGCAGGAAAAAAAAAAAATAAAAAAAAAGAATTTAGAAGTTCTTTTGAGCTGGCTGCGTTCCTGGATCAGGTTCACTCTCTGGCTGCACAACAGCTTGTGCCAGGAGAGCTCAGGAAGTGGTGCAAGAAGAGCAGCTGCGGACCAGACGCAGAAGCCCAAGGTCTTGCCATTGCTTGAACCATTTAAAACATTGCTACCAACAGATGTTTTTATAGCCTGAAGTTAAAAGCTTCCCAATTGTTTACAGGGCATGAAATGTGATGGTTATTTTGGCTCAACGTTTCCATTAAATCTCTTAAAGTATCTAAGAAAATGAATGTTAAAGGCAAATCCCTTCCAAAGCTTAAAGACTTTCTATTTCCTGTGGACAAGCCTCTGAGAAACTTTAAATAGACAAGTAAACAATGCATCCCCGAATGTATTTTATACTGCTATGATTTGTAAAGAGTGAGTTTATATATATTTTTCACAGGAAACCGCTTGAGATTAAAAGCTGCACAGGTGGATTCCATGGCTCGGACAATCGCTTCCCCAGTATGCAGGTGAGACTTAAACTTGGGCTAGTTTTTAGTTTTAACTCCTTCTATATTTTGAATGTCGTGTTTGCTGGATGTTGATGTGGTTTTTTTTAAGTTCTATGACACTATTCCATCTGCATTTAAAGAAAATGAGTATTTGTAGGATTGTTGGGATTGCTGTAGGTGTGCTGGGTAATCCCTGCAGGTGGGATTCTGTTGTTTTAAGAGTTGGGCAAAAACCCAACAGGACTTACCCCAGAGATTTCACTGTGCTGGTAAGAGTATAAAGTTGTGCCAAGGTGTTTTGTTGTAACATTAAAAGCAGGAAAAGAGAAAACTTGGGTCATCAAATCCTCAAATACAATAATTGTAGATCTTGAGAGAATTCAGATCATAAGGCACCTTGGAAGGTCTCTAGATGCACCTCCAACTCATAACGGAGTCAGTTGTGAGATCAGGACAGGTTACACAGGGCTTTATGCAGTTGAAAGATGCCAAGGGCGGAGGCTCCACAAGTTCTAACCAACCCATTCCCCTGCCTGCCTGTCCTCCTGGTGTAAATGTGTTTAATTACAGCCAGACACAGCCTTTCCTCTTTCAATTTATGCCTGTTGTCTCTCTGCCTCCTACTGTGTAGCACTGAATGGCTTGGTCTCCTTGATGACCTCATTGTAGGTACCGTGGAGCCTCTGTCAGGTCCACCTGAAGCAGCCTCTTCTCCATGCTGAGCAAGCCCTGTCCCTCCCTGTCCCCTGAAGCAAGGCCTTCAGCCCCTCAACCGCCTCGGGGACCTTCCACTGAATTTGTGATGCTTCTTTATGGATGTCATTCTTAAGTTTAAAAGAGAGTAATTAAATTCTTCTCTTTCATGAGAATTGGAAAGGGTCTCAGGGAAACAGGAAATCAGATCCTTAGTCAGCTCTGCTCCATCTAATTTGAGGAGGTCACTAAAACCTATCTTCTGCTGTAGTTTCCACTATCAATAAAATGAAAACCAGTAGTTTTCATTCCAAAAAACTGTTTTCAGGATAAAATCCACTAACAGTTGTGAGGTTCTTGGTACTATTACAGCGAATATGTGTAGACACATCTATAAGGAGAGATCCCTGTAATCAAAAAATTAATGGAAACAAGTTTTATGAAAAGACCTACGTAGTCCGTGTAGTTTCTCTCTGCTACACTTTGACTGTATGAATTTTTTTCAGTAGGTTGACTCTTTTCAAACTTTTTGCCCGACTTTGCCTGTTCATAGCATCCATAATTGGTCTTAAACCAGATATAATTTATCTTTTTGTGGCTAACATTATAGCAGCATAAATTTCATACTCTGTGATTACCTCATCCAACAGAAAGGAGGTAGCATGTTCCTGCCTCATCTGGTTCAAATGAGGCTTGTTGAGTAAGTCATTACAGATTTTAGTATCAAATGTTGCAGAATGACTTAATTTTAAAAAAAAAAAGATGTTAGGGTCGAGTTTTTAGCCTCTATTTTTGCCACACAGCTACAAAATCTGAGATAATTGCATTGTTTGGAAAGAGCTTTGAGATCTTACCCAGGAAGATGCTATAGAGCGGAACACATCCGTCGCTCGTTCGGTATCTTGATACCCTAGATGGGTGCAATATGTCCCACTTCATTAAAAAAAAAAACAACAAACAAACCAAAAGCTGAACACTTTGGGGGGTAAGTTTAAAAACAACCTTTTGGGCAGCAGTTGAGTTGGAGCATTTGCTGCTGTTGCCTCCTTGTTCTCGCTCTCTGCTGGGGCCGGCTTTGCGTGGCTGCGGCGTTAAGTAGGTCGGGGAACTGAACCAGAAGGAAAAGAGCCAGCAGGAAAAAAAAAAATAATAAAAGAATTTAGAAGTTCTTTTGAGCTGGCTGCGTTCCTGGATCAGGTTCACTCTCTGGCTGCACAACAGCTTGTGCCAGGAGAGCTCAGGAAGTGGTGCAAGAAGAGCAGCTGCGGACCAGACGCAGAAGCCCAAGGTCTTGCCATTGCTTGAACCATTTAAAACATTGCTACCAACAGATGTTTTTATAGCCTGAAGTTAAAAGCTTCCCAATTGTTTACAGGGCATGAAATGTGATGGTTATTTTGGCTCAACGTTTCCATTAAATCTCTTAAAGTATCTAAGAAAATGAATGTAACTTCTTCAACAGCAGAGAAGAGCAAGGGATTTCATAAATGAGACAAAACCAGATTTCCTAATATTTACTACTACTTCAAATTATTCTTACACGTTCACTTTTTTTAAAGAAAAACACACTTTTGAATTGATCCCTACTATATTGGTAAAGATTAAGTTCCTGAAAGAAAATGCCCTCTGAGCATGGAGATGTTTTCCCATTTCAACTTGTCTTAAACAGAGTCCCACTTTGTTTTTCCCTGTAAATCCCAGGCTATCTTTATTGGCTTTGGACCAGGATTCAAGTTTCGTACTCAAGTGGATCCATTTGAAAACATTGAAGTATATAATTTAATGTGTGGTAAGTGTGATTGGTGGGCTTATCTTTTTTCAGTAAAATACAGTATCTTTTGGGAATTGCAATTTTTCTAATAACAGATTTTTAAGTGTCCTTCAGAAATTTGTCCTAAAGGCTCGCTGCTGATTTTCACAAATAAAAAGCTGATTGTTTTTCTGAGAAAGGTCCAGCTTCTAAATGACTGATAGCTGTTCAGGATCTACCCCTGTGTCTCTCCCACTGGTCACTCTGTGTGTTCCTCTGGTTGTTCCACAGCTGGAGCTTTGACTCCCCATTACTAAAATTGACTACTTTGTCATCTCTTCACCATCAAGAAGAAGGGATACCTCTCTCATATTGAGCTAGAGGCTTCATCAGATTAATCCCTCAGGTATAGAATCATAGAATGGTTTGAGTTGGAAGGGACCTTAAAGATCATTGAGTTCCAACCCCCTGCCATGGGCAGGGACATCTCCCACCAGGTTGCTCAAAGCCCCACCCAGCATGGTCTTGAGAGACCTAGAAGAACTTTCAGGTACAAAATGAAGTGAGATGACTTACTCAAGCTTCTCCTTGCCCTTGGACTCCAGGAAGGCATCTTCTTTCAGTTGTCATCTGGCATTTCTCTTAGAGGTGCCCGACTGTGCCTTCTTGCTGGGGAAGATTCTGTCTCCCATGTGTCCAGTATCTCAGCACTTGAAGCATGAGCACCAGATAGATACAACTGACTGTCTCGTCTGAATTGGGGATTTTCAACTCATGTTTTCCAAGTCATTCCGATCTCCAGACTTGGGGATTTCCAGGACGTTGTGAATTCCTGGATAGTCCACTTGAAATAATGGGAACATAGTGATGGAATTTAGCTCTTGAAGTGGGGACCTGAGTTCTGGGACTGGTTCTGATTTGTTGTAACTTCTTCAACAGCAGAGAAGAGCAAGGGATTTCATAAATGAGACAAAACCAGATTTCCTAATATTTACTACTACTTCAAATTATTCTTACACGTTCACTTTTTTTATAGAGCAGGGACTGCTGAGATTAGAGGGGTTTTTTAATTCTTCTTTCCAAAGCAAAGCAGCTTCATCTGGAAGGGATGACATTAAAATATCTGAGCGACAGAACATGTAACTTCTTCAACAGCAGAGAAGAGCAAGCGATTTCATAAATGAGACAAACCCAGGTTTCCTAATACTCTTTTACTACTACTACAAATTATTCTTACATGTTCACTTTTTTTTTTAATTCTTCTTTCCAAAGCAAAGCAGCTTCATCTGGAAGGGATGACATTAAAATATCTGAGCGACAGAACACAGGGAGAAAAGTGTTCAGTTCCCCACATAGGAAGGGAAGTTCAGTTCTATCTCTGGTGCTCTAGGTGAGTGATCCAGACACCAAGCTTTTGGAGTCAAGTGTGTCTCATCACCTGCTCAGTTTTGAAAACACAGAATCATGGAATGGTTTGGGTTGGAAGGGACCTTAAAGATCATCCAGTTCCAACCCCCTGCCCTGGGCAGGGACACCTCCCACCAGACCAGGTTGCTCCAAGCCCCATCCAGCCTGGCCTTGAACACCTCCAGGGTCTTATTTCATAGACTGAGTATGAGTTAAGTGGAGGAACGACAAATCTATGAATGCTGGCAAGGATTAAGCATGATGTATTCAGTATTTTGAAGGTGTCTGAAGTGCCTCTGAGCACTGGTGGCAGGCAGCCTTTAGTCATTTGAGCTATTTAGGTGTTTGTGGGGTAGAGATGTTTTTGTGGTTAGACCACTTTGAGAATTTGGAAGCTTGACATTTTAAGGCCTAAGTGACAAACAGAAATCAATGTTCTATCTGGGTTCTTTTATGGCTTTTCTCTTTAATGACGCTTATTAACTGAAGCTTATTTAGTTTTCAGGTAATTTAAAAAGAGGAAAAAAAACCCCAAAACTCTAATATACCCCCAAACTAATATCCCCCAAACTTATTTCCCTTTAACAACACTTATTAACTGAAGCTTATTTAGTTTTCAGGTAATTTAAAAAGAGGAAAAAAAACCCCAAAACTCTAATATACCCCCAAACTAATATCCCCCAAACTTATTCCCCAGCACTTCAGTGTTACGTAGACACTACCTTCATGTGTTGGAGATTCCTGTTCTGTCCCCCACTACAGGTGTGGGTGCTGCAAGTTCACTTCCCCTCAGATGTGAGCCTCTGTCATTCTTTGTGCTTGTTCTGTCTCTCTTTTTCAAGCAGAAAATTCCATCCTGAGCCCTAGAAAAGTGCACATGTGCTTTGTTTAAAAAGTTGCTTTCCCTTTTGGCAGTTATGAGCAGCAAGCAGTGCAGCTTTATTGACTCACCCATAACTGTATTTACAATCCGAGCAGCGTATTACGGTCTTTCTCATCCTGTTTTCAATATCATTTGAATTCTTCCTGTAGATTTGCTCAATTTGAAGCCAGCCCCAAACAACGGAACTCACGGGCGCCTAAACCACCTTTTGAGGAACCCTGTTTACACCCCCCACCACCCCAAAGAAACCAGCCATCCTTCCGAATGCCCCGTGGTGGGACAGAGGGCCTTTTCCCTGAGCCTGGGCTGCTCCTGCAGGACAGGGGTAAGCACTGAAACGGATAAAGCTGTGGAGTCACTGCATTCTCCAGTACTTATCTTTATTTTTTGCAGTCCCCTCCTCTTGGTTTCAAAACCAAATCTTGCCTGGGGTTAGTGTGAACTACCCTGGATCTGTATATTCGTAAGCAAACTGCAGAAATGTAGAGTCATGTTCAGCTCCAAAGAGCCTGGGAGATGCCACAGATGGGGAAATCATTTGGTTCTTCCTCTCTTTGCTTAATTATGTTGAAATTCCCCTCCTGTGAATGTTGTGTGTATGAGGTGTGGTTTTCAAGGCTGTAGATCTTCTTGTGGCAAAGCCAGTTTGTTTTTGCAAATTCTCCACAGCCTCTCTCCAGTAGTAGATACCAGTAGTAGATACCAGTGAGTTCTGTACAGGGGTAACTTCTTAGGCAGATGTTACACTTGGTACTTAAAGTGCAGTGGTAGCCCATAATATGCTTTGTAGAAGACTTAGATGAATCTGACTGGTTTTGCTTTGTATTTATAGGGCTTGCCAATAAAGGATTTTCATCAGCGTTTAAATCTCACCGAAGCAGAAGGTAAGAACTTCAAATAGTAATATAAAATTATAATAGAAATATAAGAATTATTGAAAATATAAAATGGTGAAAATCCTCTTTCCAGGACATTGTGAATTCCTGGATACTCCACTTGAAATAATGGGAACATAGCGATGGAATTTAGCTCTTGAAGTGGAGACCTGAGTTCCGGGACTGGTTCTGATTTGGTTTTTCACTGCTTTGTATGGTGTATTCATTAGAGCAGGGACTGCTGAGATTAGAGGGGTTTTTTAATTCTTCTTTCCAAAGCAAAGCAGCTTCATCTGGAAGGGATGACATTAAAATATCTGAGCGACAGAACACAGGGAGAAAAGTGTTCAGTTCCCCACATAGGAAGGGATGCTCAGTTCTATCTCTGGTGCTCTAGGTGAGTGATCCAGACACCAAGCTTTTGGAGTCAAGTGTGTCTCATCACCTGCTCAGTTTTGAAAACACAGAATCATGGAATGGTTTGGGTTGGAAGGGACCTTAAAGATCATCCAGTTCCAACCCCCTGCCCTGGGCAGGGACACCTCCCACCAGACCAGGTTGCTCCAAGCCCCATCCAGCCTGGCCTTGAACACCTCCAGGGTCTTATTTCATAGACTGAGTATGAGTTAAGTGGAGGAACGACAAATCTATGAATGCTGGCAAGGATTAAGCATGATGTATTCAGTATTTTGAAGGTGTCTGAAGTGCCTCTGAGCACTGGTGGCAGGCAGCCTTTAGTCATTTGAGCTATTTAGGTGTTTGTGGGGTAGAGATGTTTTTGTGGTTAGACCACTTTGAGAATTTGGAAGCTTAACATTTTAGGCCTAAGTGACAAACAGAAATCAATGTTCTATCTGGGTTCTTTTATGGCTTTTCCCTTTAACAACACTTATTAACTGAAGCTTATTTAGTTTTCAGGTAATTTAAAAAGAGGAAAAAAAACCCCAAAACTCTAATATACCCCCAAACTAATATCCCCCAAACTTATTCCCCAGCACTTCAGTGTTACGTAGACACTACCTTCATGTGTTGGAGATTCCTGTTCTGTCCCCCACTACAGGTGTGGGTGCTGCAAGTTCACTTCCCCTCAGATGTGAGCCTCTGTCATTCTTTGTGCTTGTTCTGTCTCTCTTTTTCAAGCAGAAAATTCCATCCTGAGCCCTAGAAAAGTGCACATGTGCTTTGTTTAAAAAGTTGCTTTCCCTTTTGGCAGTTATGAGCAGCAAGCAGTGCAGCTTTATTGACTCACCCATAACTGTATTTACAATCCGAGCAGCGTATTACGGTCTTTCTCATCCTGTTTTCAATATCATTTGAATTCTTCCTGTAGATTTGCTCAATTTGAAGCCAGCCCCAAACAACGGAACTCACGGGCGCCTAAACCACCTTTTGAGGAACCCTGTTTACACCCCCCACCACCCCAAAGAAACCAGCCATCCTTCCGAATGCCCCGTGGTGGGACAGAGGGCCTTTTCCCTGAGCCTGGGCTGCTCCTGCAGGACAGGGGTAAGCACTGAAACGGATAAAGCTGTGGAGTCACTGCATTCTCCAGTACTTATCTTTATTTTTTGCAGTCCCCTCCTCTTGGTTTCAAAACCAAATCTTGCCTGGGGTTAGTGTGAACTACCCTGGATCTGTATATTCGTAAGCAAACTGCAAAAATGTAGAGTCATGTTCAGCTCCAAAGAGCCTGGGAGATGCCACAGATGGGGAAATCATTTGGTTCTTCCTCTCTTTGCTTAATTATGTTGAAATTCCCCTCCTGTGAATGTTGTGTGTATGAGGTGTGGTTTTCAAGGCTGTAGATCTTCTTGTGGCAAAGCCAGTTTGTTTTTGCAAATTCTCCACAGCCTCTCTCCAGTAGTAGATACCAGTAGTAGATACCAGTGAGTTCTGTACAGGGGTAACTTCTTAGGCAGATGTTACACTTGGTACTTAAAGTGCAGTGGTAGCCCATAATATGCTTTGTAGAAGACTTAGTTGAATCTGACTGGTTTTGCTTTGTATTTATAGGGCTTGCCAATAAAGGATTTTCATCAGCGTTTAAATCTCACCGAAGCAGAAGGTAAGAACTTCAAATAGTAATATAAAATTATAATAGAAATATAAGAATTATTGAAAATATAAAATGGTGAAAATCCTCTTTTTTTCTTTGAAATACTCTCTGGGATTATAGTTCTGGGGTTTTTCAAAAACAGTCCTACTGAACTATTGGTTCTTAAATAAATGTGCGTCCTTATACACGTCTTTATGTAGACACACGTATATTTATGTGACAACATAAATACATAAAGACACAGGTAATACATACATACATAATACATCTTTATGACACATGTATTACCTGATATTTTTGAATTTTCTAGCACTGAAATAATGGGAATTCCATTACTTCAGTGCTAAAATTCCAGTGCTATTACTTCCAAAATGGGAAGTAAAAGTGGTGCATGGGGAAGTATCTGATAAGAAATCCCTGCACATAATGACTTGCTAATGGTGGCAACCTCAATGAAGCATGAGAGGTATTTTCTGTGGTCAAGTTGTTACGTGGTCTTAGGCTTTTGCTTGTTTTCCATATGCTTTATTTCCTTTTGGATTTTTTGGACATACACATGCCATGTTTGAGCTGCAGTTGGCAAGGCTATAGATGTGCCCATGACTCGTAAAACAAAATAAACTATTTTGAGCATGAAGAAGGTAAGATGATAAGTAAATCATGAAAGCCATAAGTCAAAATGAAAGGTAGCCCTTGGTGCTAGTACCTTAAAAGATGAAATCAAGGTGATTGCGCTGTCAAAAAGAAAAATGGGCTGATAGAGACCTTGCCTCGTGTGTGTGTTCATGAAACCTTGTTTCTTATGCAAATAAACTCTATTTGGCAACACCCCACTGTAGCTCACTATTAAGAACTGGGCTTAAGTGCCAGTTACAGGCAGGATCCAGGATTTGCTGCTCATTCAGGGCTAATTTAAGGCTTCTGTTGGTTTGTGTAGTTTGTCCTGGCACAAAGTGCAGATAAAGCCTTCTTGAATCTTTTCCCCTAATGACGGGGCATCTTTTTAGAAGCTTAGCTCTGGTCTTAATAGCAGCAATTTCCTTAGAAGTTGTACGAATTAAGCACTTAATGCTTTTTATATCTGACTAATATCACAGATGAAAGAATTCTAATAACCAGCCCAGATGCTCCTTAAGACTATTTAATCAGTTTGCATTTTCTCTCATTGATTGTCATCCCTCGACAGTCCTAAGAACAACAAAACACTAATGGCATTTTTTTAGTTTGATTAAAAAAAAATAATTAATTGTTTGCCTTTTCCCACATGGGTGGAGAAATAAATGTCATAATCTTGACATTTTTTGTGTGTTGTGGAACTACTGTGGAAAAAACCCACAGCATTCATTGCTCAATTTCTTTCCCTGTTTAAAACAGTTGCCTTGGGATTGTGGCTTTGCATGATTTGTGGATGACAGTGACCTATTTAATGGAGAATATACTTTGATGGCTTCTTTATAATTCTGGTCATGTAATGATTGAAAATACTTGCATTTTCAATAGCAAAGTAATATTTTTTGTCATTTTAAAGTATTTCCACGATGTGCAAGTTCTCCTCAGTTTTAATTTTACATCAGAGAACTCAAAACTTGAAAACCTTATTTTTCTTTGTTTCCAGTCGGCAAAAATTTAAGTATTCAAAGTTTTGATGAAATTAAAGTCTGCCTTAGGGGTTAAAAACTGAAACTTGCTGCTGACATTTGACTGCAGCAGATGATTGCAAAAGCATGTGCTTCTTACGACTCTGTTTTGTTACTACTTTGGTTTTTTCCTTGAAGATAAATGGTATTGACTCTAAAGGGACTTTCATGCTAACTCTGCTTTGCTTTTCAGCTTTTGTCTAATGACTTACCCTCTGCTGATCCCACAAAGCTTCTTTCTATTTATAGGGCTTGCCAATAAAGGATTTTCATCAGCGTTTAAATCTCACCGAAGCAGAAGGTAAGAACTTCAGATAGTAATATAAAATTATAACAGAAATGTAAGAATTATTGGAAAATATAAAATGGTGAAAATCCTCTTTTTTTCTTTGAAATACTCTCTGGGATTATAGTTCTGGGGTTTTTCAAAAACAGTCCTACTGAACTATTGGTTCTTAAATAAATGTGCGTCCTTATACACGTCTTTATGTAGACACACGTATATTTATGTGACAACATAAATACATAAAGACACAGGTAATACATACATACATAATACATCTTTATGACACATGTATTACCTGATATTTTTGAATTTTCTAGCACTGAAATAATGGGAATTCCATTACTTCAGTGCTAAAATTCCAGTGCTATTACTTCCAAAATGGGAAGTAAAAGTGGTGCATGGGGAAGTATCTGATAAGAAATCCCTGCACATAATGACTTGCTAATGGTGGCAACCTCAATGAAGCATGAGAGGTATTTTCTGTGGTCAAGTTGTTACGTGGTCTTAGGCTTTTGCTTGTTTTCCATATGCTTTATTTCCTTTTGGATTTTTTGGACATACACATGCCATGTTTGAGCTGCAGTTGGCAAGGCTATAGATGTGCCCATGACTCGTAAAACAAAATAAACTATTTTGAGCATGAAGAAGGTAAGATGATAAGTAAATCATGAAAGCCATAAGTCAAAATGAAAGGTAGCCCTTGGTGCTAGTACCTTAAAAGATGAAATCAAGGTGATTGCGCTGTCAAAAAGAAAAATGGGCTGATAGAGACCTTGCCTCGTGTGTGTGTTCATGAAACCTTGTTTCTTATGCAAATAAACTCTATTTGGCAACACCCCACTGTAGCTCACTATTAAGAACTGGGCTTAAGTGCCAGTTACAGGCAGGATCCAGGATTTGCTGCTCATTCAGGGCTAATTTAAGGCTTCTGTTGGTTTGTGTAGTTTGTCCTGGCACAAAGTGCAGATAAAGCCTTCTTGAATCTTTTCCCCTAATGACGGGGCATCTTTTTAGAAGCTTAGCTCTGGTCTTAATAGCAGCAATTTCCTTAGAAGTTGTATGAATTAAGCACTTAATGCTTTTTATATCTGACTAATATCACAGATGAAAGAATTCTAATAACCAGTCCAAATGCTCCTTAAGACTATTTAATCAGTTTGCATTTTCTCTCATTGATTGTCATCCCTCGACAGTCCTAAGAACAACAAAACACTAATGGCATTTTTTTAGTTTGATTAAAAAAAAATAATTAATTGTTTGCCTTTTCCCACATGGGTGGAGAAATAAATGTCATAATCTTGACATTTTTTGTGTGTTGTGGAACTACTGTGGAAAAAACCCACAGCATTCATTGCTCAATTTCTTTCCCTGTTTAAAACAGTTGCCTTGGGATTGTGGCTTTGCATGATTTGTGGATGACAGTGACCTATTTAATGGAGAATATACTTTGATGGCTTCTTTATAATTCTGGTCATGTAATGATTGAAAATACTTGCATTTTCAATAGCAAAGTAATATTTTTTGTCATTTTAAAGTATTTCCACGATGTGCAAGTTCTCCTCAGTTTTAATTTTACATCAGAGAACTCAAAACTTGAAAACCTTATTTTTCTTTGTTTCCAGTCGGCAAAAATTTAAGTATTCAAAGTTTTGATGAAATTAAAGTCTGCCTTAGGGGTTAAAAACTGAAACTTGCTGCTGACATTTGACTGCAGCAGATGATTGCAAAAGCATGTGCTTCTTACGACTCTGTTTTGTTACTTCTTTGGTTTTTTTCTTGAAGATAAATGGTATTGACTCTAAAGGGACTTTCATGCTAACTCTGCTTTGCTTTTCAGCTTTTGTCTAATGACTTGCCCTCTGTTGATCCCACAAAACTTCTTTTTGACACAATTTTAAAGGAAAAGCTTCGTGCTTCCATTGGATGCAGTTGTTGGCCAATAAATCAGCAATGCCTTAGGGAAGGGTCTGCCAACGCCCTGTGCAGTATCATACATAAAACTTCTGGAGATATCTTTTCTGCACAAACTTTATCCAAAGAGCTGTGGTCCATGAGAGAGAGGGAGAAGGAAGGTTTTGTGACTCACTCTCATTATAGAGCGAGTCCTCACACATCTGAAAATCCAACTTCACTGTATCACTTTTTTTAGATCTCTTATATTTTTTTTTAGTCCTTTAAATGTCACTTGTACGTATGACTTTGTGGTTTCTACTAAAATAGTCCCCTCAGCAGATTTGAAATCACCACAACTGGTTACAGTTCCATCTAAATGTTGCATAGACACAGGTTCCATGTTATATATTTAAATTGAAACACAAAGTCAACGAAGACTTTAACTTTGCAACTTAGATTCATCTCCTGTTTTTAAATGGCAAAATGTTTTGTTTTAACTGCAAACTTAATTTGTGTAAGTATAAATGATTGCTCTATACTGGCTTTGACATATAATTTATTGCCTTAGTGTAGAAACTATACCTTTGATATAACAATGAAATTTTTTGTTCCATTACTTTGACGACTTTGTTTGGCAATTGGAAACTGGGGCAACTGTAGATTGTATAAAAGAGGAAGGTTCTTAACAACCAGTATTGGTTGAGATGTAACGAGCACTATCTCTGCTGCAGTTCAGAAGACAGAGGAGCTCACTTTGCCCTACGGACGGCCCAGGGTTCTGCAGAAGAGACACAATTACTGCCTCCTCTACCATCGCCGCTACGTGAGCGGGTACAGCAAGGACTACAGGATGTCTCTCTGGAGTTCATACACCGTTAACAGAGATGTAAGTACAGGAAGAAAGGTTAGTAGCAACCTTGAGATGTAAAAAGCTTTGAATGATGGTTATTCCTGAGTGCTGCTGCTATTATCCCCCAGGGAACTCTGCCGGTTCATCACGAGCTGGCATCGTGCACTGGCAGCCCAGGACAGGCTGGAGAGGTGGGCCCAGGTGAACCTCATGAGGTTCAACAAGAGCAAATGCAAGGTTCTGCACCTGGGCCGGAACAATCCTCACCACCAATACAAACTAGGGGGGGAGGGATTGGAAAGCAGCCCTGAGGAAAGGGACTTGGGGGTGCTGGTGGATGAGAAGCTGGACATGAGCAGACAGTAGGCACTTTCAGCCCAGAAGGCCAATTGCATCCTGGGCTGCATCAAAAGATGCGTTGCCAGCAGGTCCAGAGAGGGGATTCTGCCACTTTACTCTGCTCTGGTGAGACCTCACCCGGAGTATTGTGTCAGGTCTGGAGCCCTCAATATAAGAAGGACATGGACCTGATGGAGAGGGTCCAGAGGAGGGCCACAAGGATGATCAGGGGGATGGAGCACCTCTGCTCCGAGGACAGGCTGAGGGAGCTGGGGTTGTTCAGCCTGGAGAAGAGGAGGCTCCGGGGAGACCTAATAGCAGCCTTCCAGTACCTGAAGGGAGCTACAGGAAGGCTGGGGAGAACCTGTTTAGAAAGGCCTGCAGTGACAGGACGAGGGGCAATGGCTTCAAGCTGGAGGGGAACAGATTTAGATTGGAGATGAGGAGAGGGTTCTTCACTGTGAGGGTGGTGGAGCACTGGAACAGGTTGCCCAGGGAGGTGGTTGAGGCCCCATCCCTGGAGATATTCAAGGCGAGGCTCGACGAGGCCCTGGGCAACCTGGTCTAGTTGGGGGTGTCCCTGCTGACTGCGGGGGGGTCGGACTAGATGGCCTTTGGAGGTCTGGGCAATTCTATGATTCTATGAAAGCCAGCAGCATCCTGACAAGGTTTGCTTGATCCGAAATATTTTGAGGTTAGTGGCATGAGGCAACCAGTTATTGTAACACGTGGCCCAGTGGAGTGAGATCCTAATGCCACCTCTGGCTGCCCCTGATTTCCTAGCCTGAATGGACAAGTACCTTCACGGTAGATCAGGGTAACGGGCACCTCTAGGTTCTCTGTTGGACGATGTTATTCTCAACTCAACCAAAACACTGCAGTTCTGTTCACTTCACTTCCAAAATTTCTGAAACGAACAGGAGGGCTTGTTTTCCACTGCCAAAAGAGAAATAATTATTGTGTCTTCGTTAAATCCCTCCACACCCTTAAAGGCAGCAAAACATTTAGAGTTCTGCAGTCGGTCACACTGAGAGAATTACTGGAAGTCAGCTGTCAGTTTTACCAATGATATTTTCATCTTGCTCAACAGGACAAATGGGTTTCTGCTACGGAAGATGTCTCCAGCTGCTTACACAAGGATGCTCGTATTCCTGTTAATCATAACCAGACGTGTTTGTTTTACAACAACCACCCTCGCCTGACCTACGGGTTCCTCTCTCCTCCAAGTGAGTACGTTGCCTTCGTCGTGCAGCATCTCTGATTGAAATAATTCATAATGTGCTAGGCGTATTCCTGTACAGATGTTCCTGATAACTAATCAGAGTACAAATCAGCAGTTGCTGAATTGTTGGAGTTCACATGAGAAAGAGAAAAACATTTTAAGCACTTCAGCAGGTGGTGGGTTGTCCGAGGTCACTGAGTGCTTCCTCAGAGCTTTGGAACTCGTCAGGTTTCCAAAGTGGTGTCTCACAGAAGAAACTGGAAGTAATGTGTAAACCTTGAGTTGAATCTGGCAAGCTGGTAAATTGTAAATTCACTTCTATAACAGGTGTTAGTTGGAACTATCCCAAGTAAAATTTAAGGGTGTTTCATCAAGTAAAAATCTGCCTCAATAAGTTAATTTTCTATTTGAAATACACTCTGTGTGTATGCCACACATGGTCCTTAGGAGAGCAGCTCAGTGTTGGTCTGAAGAATGTAGTTCTGATTCTCAAACATTGCAAAATATTTAGCTATTTACAAGTGGTTAAATTGTTTGTGAACTGTTGCTGGCCTGATTTGGAAGTGTTTTACTCAGTACTGTGTAAAGTACTGAGTAGTAGGTTGCTTAAACATCCACATCAAGTGTAATTTGCCAACTTCCAATAGAGCTCCTATTTCTATGCCCAGATTCTGCAGTCAGAACAGGTTGGTTTGACACTTGTGAAGTGAATTTTATTCCATTCCCCACAATTCAAACACATGTTCTGATATTTTTTAAATATCTCAGAAATCTGTCCACTGTATATCTAACAAATGCAATTGCTGCTGCTGCTGAGATTATTTATTTTGGATGGGATGCAGCACAGACTGAAGTTAGCACTTCGTCCCACATCAGCTTTGGAAAGTCAAGTTAGGTCAGCTCCACCTTAAAGTTATTACACCAATCTTTAAAAGCATGAAAAGGCAAGTTGAAAGGAACAAATCCAAGTAATGAATTGCCTTTTTTTTTTTCCTTTAAGATATTATGACAGATGCAAAGAAGCCTCATTATGATGCCTTGCTTACCAGCAACGTTGTGCCAATGTATCCTGCATTTAAAGGTATTTTATGTTTATGCATATTTTGTGTGCACAGTTGAATATATAAGGAGGATTTTTTGCTCGCTTCCAAACCATGCGAGTGATCCCTGGTTCAGCTGCCTCTGTGAAATAAAACCTCCCCTGACTCTGGGCTTCTTACCTTGAGGAAAAGTTCCTTGAAGTAGGATTATTGCTCTTGTGAAAAGGGTCCACCATTGTGAGCTTACGATTTCTAATCAACTGGCTCATTATATGAGAGTGCACTCTAAGTGTCTGCATTTCATGTCTGACACTTTTGTTTGCACTTTCCTACCTAAACAGGATTCTGTACTGAATATCTTATAGAGAGCTCAGGTACCATATATAATTATATGAGTTAAATTAATTTCCAGTTTAGGAATGTCTTCTAAACTCAGATGAGTTTCCAGGCAGGAATCTAGTGTTTCCATCACTAAGGAAATGGGAAAATAATCCTGTCTCTAGTAGAGAAGGTACAAAGACCTGGGTAAGAGGGAACATGAGATGGTTTGAGATGGCATATTCCTGGTGAAAAAGAAGCATAACTATGGCACTTCCTCTGGATAAGAGAGATGTCCTGTTTTCTAATGGAACAGTGGTCAACTCTTAACTGTAATTAAAAACACCGTATCGGTCAGATACTTCCCAGCTCGTAGGTGTGGGTGTACAAGGTAGCCAGGCCAACGTGATAGTTTATTGTGTCTGTTTATATAGTTGTATTAACAGCTTCTACCTCAGAGATCATGTTTGCCCCTTCCATTGCTGTGTTTCAGTGTTATGGAGCTACTTCCATCAACACCTGCTCCCCGAATACGCTGCAGCCCGGAGCGGCGTCAACGTAGTCAGCGGTCCTGTGTTTGATTACGACTCTGATGGGCTCTGTGATACCCCAGAAAAAGTGAAAAGGTGGGAACCTTACGCATTCTAATCCTTTGGTTCTTTCCTCTATTAGTGGTTGTAAAGTATTACCATCTCCACAAGGAAATCAACCTGTAGAGATGGGCTCTTGGCAGGATATATCCGTTCAGAGAGGGTCAAGTGGCCCTCAGCACATACAGAAGTGTAAAGCTATGAAATAAGCAACAAGTGTAAAAAGAAAGTGCACCTTCAAAGTATGTCATCCTAAAACCTGAAGGTGACGTGTGAGAGAAGCTGTTGCATGCAGGAGAAAGTCCCATAGCCTCAAATTTTATGATATTGTCCTCCAAGAGGGGATGAGGCAGGGGTTTCTCCCTGGTGTCATGGGTGACACTTCCTGAGCTGGCAGTGTTCCACTACCAAGTTGTGAGCACTTCTACAGAAATTAGCTAAATTGGGTCAAACCAGCAGGCAGATGTGAGGGTGGTGAGAGCCTGGAACAGACTACCCAGAGAAGCTGTGGCTGCCCCATCCCTGGAGGGGTTCAAGGCCAGGCTGGATGGGGCTTGGAGCAACCTGGTCTGGTGGGAGGTGTCCCTGCCCAGGGCAGGGGGTTGGAACTGGATGATCTTTAAGATCCCTTCCAACCCAAACCATTTTGTGATTCTATGGTTTTCTGGGCTCAGGCTTAACTCTCCAGCTGCTCTGGATTCTTACACATTTTTATGATAAAGCAGTTTGCTGTTATACCTCACCAAATTTAGACCAGCCTACAAGCCAAACTTGATTTGCAAAACAGTAATCTGGAATTTTCCTTGCAAGTCTAAGCTTTCTTTGGGCTAAGCGTGTGGATTGCAAAAGTTGCTGTGCCAGAACACAGCTCAGTGCTGTCATTTCTTCCTCGTGCAAGTACGATTTGGTGGATTTACAGAAACATCTTTTGTTTCAGACGCCCCGGTAATTCAGAAGTTCCAGTTCCAACTCACTTCTTCATTGTGCTGACCAGTTGTAAAAATACTTCTGAAACGCCTCTGGAGTGTGAAGGGTCTCTAGATGCCTTGTCTTTCATCGTGCCTCACAGAGAAGACAACAGTGAAAGCTGTGCAGTAAGTGGTCTGTTCAGTTAACACCCGAAAGTCAGGCTTGAGCTTGTTTTCTTTCAATATCAGTGATTAACTAGTTAAAGACTGTAGAGATTATAAAAACTGGGCAGTGTTTCATAGTCATCTTGAGAGAGAAGATGATATTTCAGTGAACAGAATTATGTTAAAGTCAAAGGTGAAAATAGAACTTCCCTGTTCAAAGAGCAAAACTTAGAGCGAGAGAGGTAGAGACCATCAATGTGACATGTCCGTAGACTTCTGGAGGGCAAATATCCAGTCGACAGCTGAGAAGGATGAAGAGCTTCTAGGAGAAGATGAGCCATCCGTGAAGAAAGGTCAGCACTAGGCCAAACACATACCCAAAAGGATAAGACACAGGTGTTGCCAAAGAGTGTTGGTTGCTTCTGGTTCAGGTACCTTGGCAGTGTGGTGGGAATGCACAAGCGTGTAGACCTCTCCTAGAAGAGAAGAATTACACCAGTCACTGCCCAAGTCAGGCACAGGTATATATATTTTTATCACAGTGATAAAAACTGTGGATAGATGGTGGATCTCATCTGCCATTCCTTGTTATCACCAACTTCCACTGGTGCAGCTACAAGTTCTCCCTACCTGAGGGAGTACAGCAAGTACTAAATTCAGCCAAGCTCATAATTATGTATAATCCCATTACTACTTTCTGTCCTTATAAAACATCAAAATGTCTTTTGCTAATTGGTTAAATTTATGTCAAAAACAAAAAAAAAGAGACAGTTTACAAACCTTTTCCCCTCCTCTTTCCCAACAGGATGGCAAGTCTGAGTCCACGTGGGTTGAAGAGAGAATGAGGTTTCACACAGCTCGGATCAGAGACGTAGAATTACTCACTGGACTCAGCTTCTATCAAGACAGAAAACAGCCAATAACTGAGATTTTACAGTTAAAAACATATTTACCAACTTTTGAAACGGTCTGATTTTTTTTTCCTATGGAACGTTGTTATCCATTTCGCATCTGATTTGTAAATAGACTGTTTTTAATTAATGAAAACACTTTTTTTTTTTAATAAGCTGGAACATTCGTTGAGAACTCTTGACCAAAATGCCAGTAAGGAGGAGGGTGGGTGCCATATTTGTATCTCAGGGACTCCTGATGGACTCTGTACGAAACACAGGGTGGCAGCTCCTGTCATTCCCACTTGAATGTGGTAGAACCATGGCCATTATTAAATGCTACCGGCGTTTAAGCATCAAAGTCTGAGACACGAACAAAAAAATGTTATCTTTTCTACGCACTGGAGAGGGAGAAGTTTATAAAACATGGGTTATGAACAATATTCTACTTCAAAAATACTGATAATTGGCAAATACAGTTCTGGGAAATAACTGCCTTCTTGGTGACCGTTGAGATATAAACAGCAGCTCTCGCTCTGGTTTTCCTCAAAGCACGAGTCACGTTCTGAGCTTTGGGTGTCACAGAAGGATGCAGCTTTATGGTACAAGAAGCTACGCTGAGGTTAGTGACACTGGGAACTGGGACTGCCCCAAGATGGAAAACCCACTCCGCTGAAGGAATCCTGGTAGCTGGGAAGCCTCGGTGTGTTGCTGCCCTCTGGTGCCTCTGCCACCCAAGGAGAAGTTGATGCACAATTTGCTTGTTGGCTCTGCGTCCTCAAAAAAAAAGAAAGCAGGACATTTGTCACCTGCATGCAAATCAGAAGAAATTAATTGAGGAATATCTCCGAGCTCCCAGAAGTCATTATCTTACTTCAAATAGAAGTGGCTCAAAAAAAGTGGCTCAAAACTGAAATTTTTCTGGAAACAAAGATGTCTTTCTCACTTTGGTGCATGACTTTTGTCAGCTGCGGTTTTGAAATCACCTTATTGTCGAGAAAAGGTAGTTTTGCACTCAGATTGTGGCCTTAGGGTGGTAAGATGATCTTCTCTACTGGAGCTTCTCATCGCTACAGAAGATGACACACAGTTGTCTTTTGGCAGCAAATGACCAGATCCTGATGGCTTTCGTAGCTTTTCTTAGGGGTACATGATCTGAATTCCAGTTACCCATCTTGAATGCAGGCGCTGCCAGATGCAAATTCTGAAGAAACTCTTCTGAAGGAGCTTTCTTGGAAGTTTTTGGGCCACACACAGCTGCTGACGGGCACTCAGGAGTGCAGGAACTCCCTCCTTTTCCAGTACACGTGCTATCACCTGGGGAATTCTCCCGCTCCCTCTAAAGCTGATGAGCCCGAGTTGGCTCTGGTGTGTATAGAGTTTGGCATAGTCAACTACACATTTATGTTCTCTTCATTTAAAAAGAAGAAAATACGTCACGCACAAGGATGTTGGAGGAAGGAAGAGCCCGTGGCTGAGCAGAGGGGCTCGGTCAGGGGACGTCAGAGGCTGGATTCAAAGCCTGCTGAAGGCAGGGGAAGCTTTTCCATCAACTTCCGTTTCAGAGGGTTGAAATCCTGGGACCATTTTTTTTAAATTTTTAACCAAATGTATTTTCTTGATCTGTTACAAGCATGATTTTTATTTTTTTTTTTCCTAAAGTAGTTTCACTGTGTGAAATTTAAAATGTGTTGTAGCAACCTCACATCATGGTATGACTGTGACAGCATTATTCAGTGTAACTGCTTTGCAACGTTGCTTGTGACCAATAAAAACATCAGAAGTAGTAAATTCACTGTTCCTGACCCTTTCTGTACCAAATGCTCCTGGGCAGTTAAACGCTGGTGTGGACAGAGAGCACTATTTCACATTATTTTGGGGGTTGGGGAAGGGGGTTGCTTCAATCCGTGCTCTTTGAGTTGAAGGTAACTTCTCCTCCAACTGGAATGTTGAAGTGCGCTCATGATTGGAAGGGGAAGGTAGGATGGAAGCCGGTCAAGATGTTTCACTGAATTTTTAGAGTTGGAAGGGACCATAAGGATCATCTAGTCCAACTCCCCTGCCAAAGCAGGACCACCCAGAGCTTGTCAGAGCATGTTACTCAGGACGGCATCCAGGTGGGTCTTGAAAATCTCCAAAGGAGGGGACTCCACACCCTCCCTGGGCAGCCTGTTCCAGGGCTCCGTCACCCTGTTCTTATATTTTTTTTCTTTAGGACTGTTACAGCCTCCTGAATGCAAACGATGGAGATGTTAATGTCTTCAGAAAGCGATGCCATGCCAGTGTCAGTTCAGAGGCAGGGCCAGCCCAGCTCCTGGGTGAAGATGGAACAGGGCAGGCTTCAAGCATGGTGTAACCTAGGGGAAAATTTTGGAAGGGAGAGCAGCTGGGGAAGCTCTTATGGCCACCAAAAGAAGGATAATGGCTGAGAGGGATTTTTCAACTTGATGAGGAAGAGAGCTGTCCTGATTTAATCTCAGTGTCAATAGTTTTGCTGCTTTTATATCCTCACCTTTGCCGTTTAGAAACGTTTGTAACAGGGGTGTCGGAGCGTTGTGAATAAATGCTGGTGCCAGTCATGGTATCCAGTGGCTGGTGATACACCAGGACAGCAGATACTGGATTGTGTTGTGAAGCCTGATGGACCCCAAGGAGCACGCTGCAGCCACCATCAAACTCATAATTCTGCAAAACCCCCACAGCTTTGTCTGTCTGGATGCAGAATATTTTCCATTTCAGCTGCTGTAGGGTATCAGAGCTCCACCAAACGTTCTCAGCAGGTGAAGCTGGAAGGTGTGGTACCAACGCTGCTGTGACATGGGAGGGAAGGCACCAGGAGATGCTCTAGGCTGCAGCTGGTGCCCACTGGTACAGAGAAGGTGTTGACCAGTCTCCATCTCCTAAGCATGTTTGCTTAGGGTAAGGAAAGGACGGCTGAGGAAGGGAGTGGTGGAAGCCTTCACAGATGTTGAAGATTGTTCCAGGGTGGACAGAGCTAATCTAGTCCTTGTGACTTAACGTTCAGGAAGAAAGGTGGAGGTGTTCAAGGCCAGGCTGGATGGGGCTTGGAGCAACCTGGTCTGGTGGGAGGTGTCCCTGCCCAGGGCAGGGGGTGGGAACTCAACGGTCTTTAAGATCCCTTCCAACCCAAACCATTCTGTGATTCTATGATAAAGGAAAAGGGGCTGAAATTGCAACAAGGGACATCTGTTTAGGCATGGGCTGAGTTAAGCAGTGGGGTGGACTGGTTATATATGGAATTAAATGGGTTGGGAACTCATTTTGAAAGCCTTAATGTGCCTGTGAAGCTGCTGGCTGTGGGATGGTGAGGCAGGAATGAGCAGTGGGGCAGAGGATGTCTCAGGCTGGTTTTGCTGCTGAAAAAAAACGCAGGTGAAGTTGTGCTGTCAGAGGTGTTCAGGTGACACGGAGTTATCTCGCTGTCTGCTGCCATCAGCGGGGCCATTCCCTAGACTGACATGTTATGGGTTTCTTGCTTTTATTTTCCTCGGGATCCACCACGTTTTGAGAAAAGGAAGCAATATTTGACTGCCTGGGTGTGAGATGGGCCCGTTCTGGCCAATCTGTTCTTGACACATCCATCCACCCAACCTCTGGGCCCAGCCCAGCACACACAACATCCATCCCAGCACCTGCCAGAACCTGCCCTGTCCCATCCGGCGAGTGGGTGGCCTGGGCTTCTGCCTTTCCTCGCTCTGAGGAGATGCAAAGTACAAAATTATCCCTTTAAACACAAGGTTATAAACCAGGCTCGGTGAGGTGGGAGGAGCTACCCCTCTGCTGCATGGGAGGGCGCCTGCTTTTCCAGGAAAATGAGATTTACAGGAAGCAGAAGACAAAAAAGGAAGATAAATCTGTGGCTCGGTGCTTTTGGGAGCTCAGCTGGGAGGAAAGATCTCCTTTCTGACCTCCCTTCTTCCAAGATCTGCTGCAAAGCTCAGGCCTGTGGCTGAGGAAGCACCTGTGGCCAGGACGAGTTCCCCATTGTGGAGCGGTGCTCAGGGGTGATGGCACCATGAGGGACCTCTCCTACAGAAAGGTCAACACTCTGTGCCAACAGCAGCACCACTGAGGAGGCCAGGAGACCTTCCCAGGGCTCGTGGCGAGGGCTACGCTCAGCTTTTTTGCTGCTGTGCTGAGGTAAACTCTTCGTACCCTTCTGAGGAGCTCAGGGACACAGTGAGTTTGAGCCCAGCAATTTACTAAAGCAGAATTTTCTGACTATTTTTGTTTGGGTGCCACCACTGGCAGCAGCAACATCTGCTGCTTATCTTCCTACACCCTGCGGCAATGTCTGGGAGATGTTGGAGCCCCAGGCCGAGGTGGCTTGTGCCATGAGGGATACATCTACCATAGTTTGGGAACCTCTATATGACAGGAAACCAGTCCAGGTTTGGGATCCTGTGACTCAGATTCCCTTGGAAAGGAGTCGGGTCCCTCAGTGAACCGCTGTGAGTCACCACCCCGGCCTCCAGCCGCCGGAAAGGCTGCTATGGAGACCACGGACAAACTTGCAATAATTACAGAAGCCTGGAAATGGATTTTTAGAGGATGCCATTGCAAAATTATCGTATTCCTCCTCAGCCACAACATCTGTTAAATTTGCGTTGCCCTTTATTGCAGGTTTAGTCCTTTCTATTTTCAGTTTCTCCGCTGAAATAAAATGAACGCAGCGGGATGGAAAATTTTGGGTCCCCCCAAAGCTCCTGACCGATGTCCCCTGGATTAGAAGACAGTGGAAGCGCCATTTGGTCATGGCTGTAAGGCACATCTGTGTGGCTGAAAGTCACTCTAGATGCTAAGAGACTCCATGTTCGTGGCTCTCTCACAAAACCAGGCTTCAGCACTAGCTTCCACCTAGGGCTCGAAAGAAAATTTGTCTTTTTGTGTCCCTCTGTGCTGGAGGCCTTGCCTTTGCCATCGTGAATCTGCACCAGAGCTTTGGATGTGTTTGAATTCATCATTTGAGGATGATTAATTCACTTTTTAACCTTGTACCCGCTGGCTGTGAAGGATGGCACACAGCCCACTACAGAATCTTAATTATACTCCTTGTTATAGCGCTGTCACTCGGCTTAAACCTGTCCCTGCCATCTTTACGAAAGGAATGATGGGTATCTTGTGCGACGTGCAAGCGACACTCAGTGCTCCAGGCTGGGGGCAGAGGGGATGGAGCTGCCCGGCAGAAAAGGACCTGGGGGTGTTGGTGGCCTGTGGGCTGAACAGGAGCCAGCAGTGTGCCCAGGTGGCCAAGGCGGCCACCAGCATCCTGGCCTGTGTCAGGAACAGCGTGGGCAGTAGGACTCGGGAGGTGATCGTCCCCCTGTGCTGGGCCCTGGGGAGGCCCCACCTCGAGGGCTGTGTCCAGTTTTGGGGCCCTCACCACAAAAAAGACAGTGAGGGGCTGGAGCGGGTCCAGAGAAGGGCAACGGAGCTGGTGAGGGGTCTGGAGCACAAGTCTGGTGAGGAGCGGCTGAGGGAGCTGGGGGTGTTCAGCCTGGAGAAAAGGAGGCTGAGGGGAGACCTTCTGGCTCTCTCCAACTCCCTGAAAGAAGGGTGTAGCCAGGGGGGTGGGTCTCTTCTCCCAAGGAACAGGCAATGGGACAAGAGGAAATGGCTTCAAGCTGCGCCAGGGGAGGTTCAGATTGGATATTAGGAACAATTTTGACACAGAAGGGGTTATTGCACATCGGAATGGGCTGCCCAGGGCAGTGGTTGAGGCACCATCCCTGGAGATATTCGGAAGACAGGCAGATATAGTGCTGAGGGACATGGTTTAGTGATGCTTTTTTTATCAGAGGTCGGTTGATGGCTAGACAAGATGATCTGAAAGGTCCCTTCCAGCCCAGACAATTCCATAATTCTGTGACTGAAGGAAGAAACAGGGCCCAGGGCTGCTCTTGCCAGGGGGCTGGTGGAGCCGCAGCACGGGCAAAGGAACAGCAGTTCTGGAAACTGAGAGGGATTTGGCTTTTTTAGCTCAAGTGACGACTTCTCTTTTCCTTCCCCTTTCTGTTTCCCCATCCCTTGAGGCAGGGGATGGAGCACGTTCCCTGCCCCAGACCCCGGGACTCCCAAGGAACACTCCGCGTGACGCTGAGCCCGCACTTGTCGGAACAGAGGGTCGCAGCCCCGTCTCACAGGCACCATTGTGATGTGGTTCTGGAGATAAAAGGCAGCGCCAAGGAGCGGGTCAGTGTGAAGCCTCGGAGGACGCTCGCTCGTCCTCAGCTCCAGCAGAAGCTTCACCCTGGGATTGGAGAGTCGGAGCCATTCCTCACCCTACCGGAATCGGCAACAGATTAGAGACTTCTTCTGCCTTCACTGCCTTACCCGCGGGCATGGTAAATACCAACTTGGGTTATTGCTGCAAAGAACTGAAGTTTCTCTAAGGCAGAGTTAACTCATCTGGGATTGACAGAGCTGTAGGAAACCCTACAACGGCCACCAACACCAGAATTTATCAGCTGGGGTAGCTCTGCCGTTCCATCAAGGGGGTTTATTTCTACCCGGCGGGGACAGGCAGGGGTTTAACTTCATTCCCCCTGGGGGAAGTTGAGCAGAGGTGGGGATGCCGCCCGTCTTGCTAAGATGAGCTGATGTCTGGCCTCTCTCCTCAAGGAGACCAAGACCGCGACCCGTTCACGGAAACGGGAGTTGGAGGCCAATCTCCGGGCTGCCTGGCGGGAGCTGGAGTCTCTGTACCGAGAGGCACTGAGGTGAGGGAACCTGCTTGGTGATCCTCATGGAGAAGCTCTGGGCGGTTCTTG